ATTTGTCAGCCTTTTTATACCATGAACTAGGTCTTCTAAGCTTGGTCCTACTTTGTCTCTTGTGATTTTTATGCTTTGGGCATTTACCCCAAGGCTTTGATCTACCTTGAGTTGACTTTTTTTGCATGGGAGGAGACTCCCTTTCCTTCTCCTGTGGACCACTTTGTGGATTTGAATTGTGAGCCTTTAGGACTGCATTGCAGCTTCTTACCACTAGGGTAGCCTGTTACTTTCCTAATATATTTCATAATAGTGAGTATTTTCTATTACTTCATTGTGGTTATTGAAATAATTTACTGAACTCAATAGAGGAAAAGGGAGTGTCATGGGAAGGAGGGGTTTCTTTTGTGTTCACTCCTCTCCTCTTCTCCCTCAGATAGGGGTCACAAACTGGACCATTTTTATATTTCCAAAATTTAAAAATGTGTTTATGCACTTGCCAGGTTTTGGCACTGGACAAGTCTTATAAGTTAGAAGTCATTGTAATACCATGAAAGAAAAATAAATAGCCCAGATGACACAAGCTTTGCAGCCATGAAAAGACATAGATTCATACTGTCTAGGAGGCAGGTAGAATGTGTTTCACAGATTTCTGACGGACTTAATAATTTCCAAGACTCATGGTTCATATATAACTCTTGTTGCCATGGAATCAACCACGACTTCCAAAAATCCTATGAACAATGGAATGAACAATGGAACCATGCCCTATCCTGAGCTAATCACACCTCCCTGACACACCTCACCCCCCTGTCACAGGCACTGTCTCAATCCATCCACCTTGGGTCTTTCTTTCCTCACTGGCCCTCTAACTTTCCAAGAATGATTTCCTTCTCCAAAGATTGGTTTCTTCTGGCCAACATGCCAAAAACATATTTTAAAAAGCTTTAAAATCCTTGCCTTCAAAGAATAACCTGTTTGTTTTCTTGGCAGCCCATAGAATGTTTAATACTCTTTTCCAGGACCATGACTCAAAGAAAGCAATTGATCTCTCATCCTTATTCACTGGTCAGCTATGAGAAGACCATGGCTTGGATAAGCTGCACCTTAGTCTCTTGACTGACATTATATTTCTTTAGCACTCTGGAAAGGTTCTTGACCACAAACTTTACCAATGCAACTCATGATTTCCAGAATGCTGATGACATGGTTGCTGCCTATGCATACAATCAAGATGTATGTAGTGTTCGACCTATAATGATGCATATTGGTCCAGTGGTGAAGATCTTTGTTTTGTTGATGCTGAGATGCAATCCATTTTGAAGGCTGTAGTCCTTGATCTTCTGCAGCAAATGCTGCAAGTCCTTCTCAGTTTTATGGAGTAAGGTTGTGTCACCTTCATAATACAAGCTGTTGATGATTCTTCCTCCAATCCTGATGCCACATTCTTTTTCATAAAGTCCAGACTCTCTATTGATTTGTTCCTCATAGACTGAAAATGTATGGAGACAGGACACATCCCTGAAGGATACCATTCTTGAATTTGAATAATGCAGTGTTCCCTTGTTTTGTCTGTATAACAGCTTCCTGGTCCAGATACAGGTTACACATGAGTACAGTTAAATTTTCTGAGATTTCCGTTTTTCTCAATTGTATTTACAATTTGTTGTTATTCACATTGTCAAATGCCTTCGTAAAACACAATAGACATATTAAACATCAGAAAACACAAATAGACATGTTTCTGATATTCTCTGCTTTCAGACAAGATCCATCTCACCTCAGCAATGATGTCCCTAGTGCAATGGCCTCTTCTAAACCCAGCTAGTATTTCTGGCAGTTCTCCGTCAATGTACTGTTCTAGTATTTTTGGATAATACACAGCAAGAATTTGCTTCCATGTGATATTATTTGACAATTTCCACATGCTGTTGGGTCTTTTTTTGGTTTTGAAATGGGAATGAATAAGGATCTTCCATTCATGTAGTTGTCTTCCAGATTTCTTGGCACAAGCTATTAAGCATATCCAAAGCTGCATGTTTGTCGAAATAAGTCAATAGTTCCGGTGCCTTATTTCTGCCAATTCTTTCAGAGCAGTTTGAACTTCCTCTTTTACCAATGGTTCTTGATCATAAGCTATTCCCCGAAATGGTTCTGTGGCAGCCAATTCTTTTTGGTATAGTGATTCTGTATATTCTCTCACATGTCTTTTTGATGTTTCTTGGTTCATTTAATACCCCATAGCATCTTTAAGTACTGTAACTCAAGGCTTGAACTTGTTCTTCAGTTTCTTCAGCTTAAGAAATGTTGACTGAGTTCTTCCCTTCTGATTTTCTGATTTCAGCTTTTTGTACATTTCATCATCTGTAATTACTATCTTGGAAAAATGGAATAATTTCTCAACCTATCATTTTTTAAAAATGCATTGTTCATTTTTTTATTTTCATGAAAATTTATAAAGAACTTGGATTTCCATTCATTCATTGTTGAACATTTTTCTCCTTGTCTACCCTCCCTCGCATATTGTTTTTGTCTTTAGAAAAAAGTTCTTTCCTTATTATACAGTCCTGCACCCCCCCCACTATACAACTCTTATTCTGTACTCTTGTCATGCCAATAATACCCAATCATATATTTCTTTTATATAGCTTTCTCTCATTTTTCAATGCCATATACATTATTTATCCCCTCTTTTCTTAGTTTCCCCCAACCCACTTATCAGTCCTGTTTTATTATAGTGGCATTATGCAATATTTGTCCTTTTGTGACTGAGATATTTCACTCAGCATAAGGTCCTCCAGGGTTACCCATTTTATAGAATATATCATGAGTTCCTTGCTTTTCAGTTCTGCATAATATTCCATTGTGTGAATATATCACACCTTCTCTATCCACTCGTTTGTCAGTGGGCACTTGGGTTGTTTCCAACACTTTGTTATTGTGAACAAAGCAAAAATTAACATGGGTGTGCATATATCTGTGTGGGTGGAAACTATGGTGTCTTTAGGGTATATTCCCAGTAGTGAAATGGCTGGGTCACATTGTGGTTTTTTTTAATTGAAATTTTAATGAAAGTTTATAGAGACTCTGGATCTCCATTCATTCATGGTTGCACCTTTTCCTCCTTGCCCACCTTTGCCCCCAGATGACTTTTCTCTGTGAAAAGTGAAAAAAAAAAAATAAAAAAACTTCCTTTCATTATTATAAAATTCTCCCTCCCCAGTCAAATGGTATTTCTATTTCCAACTTTTTAAGAAAGCACCATACAGCCTTCCATAGTGGCTGCACCATTTTACATGGCCACCAACAATGAATAAGGGTTCCAGTTTCTCTCCAACCTTGCCAGTATTTGTAATTGGCTGTTCTGTTGAATTTTGTTATTCTTACTGGGGTGAGATGATATCTCACACTTATTTTGATATGCATCTTAGAGCTAGGGATTTTGAACATTTCTTCATGTGTTTGTTCACCATCTGAATGTCTTCTCTGGTGATGTGTCTGCTCATATCCTGTGCTCATTCTAGATATAAGTCCCTTATCGGACATGTCATTACCAAATATTTTTTCCCAGGTTGTGGCTTCACTCTTTACAATGCTGCAGAAGTTTTTGTATGGGCACAGGGATTTGATTCTTAGACCTCATTCATCGAATTTATCCTCTCCTGGATGTAGGTTTTTTCAGAATGCTTGGAAAACTGTTCAAGTTGTGGATTAGTGCTTTTAGGGTTCTTCCAAGTTTTTACTCTAATGAACTTTATAGTGCTTGGTTTTAGTCCAGGTCCTTGATATACCTTATGTTGGTTTTTGTATATGGTATGAGGTGTGGATTTTGTTTGAGTTTTCTGCCGATGGTTTTCCAATTTTGCCAACATCATTTGTTAAAAAGGCTGGCATTTTCCCACTTAAATGATTTCATCTCCTTGTCAAAAGCCTGTTAAACATATGTAGAAAGGCTGATTTCTGGGTTCTCAAGTCTATTCCACTGATCAATGTGTCTGTCATTCTACCAGTACCACACTGTCTTGACCACTATAGCAGTGTAGTAGGATTTGAAATCAGGGAGTGAGATGCCTTCTACCTTGTTTCTCTCTTTAAGGAATGCTTTGCTTATTCTGGGTCTCTTTCCATTCCAAATAAAATTGGAGATTGTCTTTTCCACTTCGTTGAAGAATGGAATTGTTATTTGTATCGGGATTGCATTGAACATATAGATTGCCTTTGGGAGGATTGTCATTTTCACAATATTGAGTCTTCCTATCTTTGAGGAAGGGATAGTCTTCCATTACTCCAGGTCTCTCTTGATGTCTTATAGAAATTTTTTGGTAATTTTCTTTGAATAAGTCTTTTTTGGGTGGGTTTTTTTGTTTGTTTATTATGGATTTTTTTTTTTACTAATTTTAATCAAAGTTTACAGAGACTTTCAATTTCCATTCATTCATCGTTGCACACTTTCCTCTCTGTCCACCCTTTCTTCCCAGTTTACTTTTCTCTTTGAAAAGTTAAAAAAAAATTCTTTCATTGTTATACAATCTGCTCCCCCCGCCCCACCTCCAGTCCACTTCACTGTGCGCCTTTCATTCTGGACTCTTGTCATACCTGAAAGACCTAATCATAGACGCCTTTTAAGTTCTCTCCCTCATCTGTTTAATGCAGTATACATTGTTTAGCCCCTCTTTTCTTAGTTTCCCACCAACCCTGATGTCAGTCCTCCTTTACAACAGTGGCATTATGCAGTATTTGTCCTTTTGTGATTGAGATATTTGACTCAGCATAACATCCTCCAGGCTCACCCAATTTGTACAATTCATAAGTTCCTTGTTTTTCAGTAATGCATAATATTCTATTGTGTGAATATACCAGAGATTCTCTATCCATTCATTTGTTGGGCACTTAGGTTGTCTCCACCTCTTGGCTATTGTGAACAAAGCCATGACAAACATGGATGACCATGTATCTTCTTGGGTGGCAGTTCTGGTTTCTTTAAGGTATATTCCCAGTAGTGGAATTGCTAGGTCAAATGGTATTTTTATTTGCAACCTTTTTTTAAAATTTAAACACACCATAAACAGCATTTATTACCTTGGTATATCATTCTGGTCTTGTTGATGTTCCTTCACATTTAAGTGGTTCTCCATCTTCCCTCCCTCCTCCCATTTGGCTGTACAGTGCATCCTCGGACTGTTAGCCCACAGCAGCAACTCAGTTTACTCCATTTTCCTCATATTCATTCAGAGGGTCAAAGTTCTGGTCCATAAATCCTTCTTTATAGGAAATTCAGTGCTTGCGAAAGAATTTGTAATAAACCAGGCATCCCAGGATGATGAGCTCCAATAAGATGACAATGGAAAGCAGCAGTTTATTGGTCACTTTTCTGGACATTGAACGGAGAATCTTCCGACTTTTGCTCAAGTTTTCATTTGTGTTTACCAGTCTGCTCTTGGTACTTTCCAGCTGTTTTCGTTGCTCCCCCAGTTCCTCTATGATTTCGGAGCCAATCTGGTCAGTCTCCGTGGCAATCCGATGAGAACGCTCAATACCCTGGGTGGCCCGGTTCAAGCTGTCAGTGCCTTGCAGAAGCAAGGCCCTTTGAGACTGTAGTCGATTCATGTGCTCGTTCTCTACAGCATAGGTACTGAAATTTCAGGTCTCCTCGGCCCCCAGGTGTGGCTGTCAAAGGTGTGCTTTTCTCACTTCCCGATGCAGTTTGGCAAGGTCTTTCCGGTAGGTTCGAAGTTTGGACATCACAGGATTACGGAAAGATAGGGGTGCATAACGTAGTTCTTCCTCCATCTCTGCCAGCGTTTCATTGGCTTCTTGTTGTTTTTCATCAAAATCTCTGATCAACTTCTTCTTCTCTTCGGTCCCCGCCGTCCCCAGCAGCCGCTCGGGCACTCCCTGCAGGTCATCATGGAGGCGGCGGAAGATCTCTTGCAGCTTCTCAAAATGCTCAGAGGAGGCGGCAGAGGTGGCCATGGCGCAAGGCGCGGCAGAGCGGCGGCCGCCAAGATTCTGGGCGCGCAGCCCGCTCCTATCCCGGCAGTCAGCCTCCCAGCACCACAGCCATCAGGGCCGCCGCCTCGGCCTCAGCCGCCAGGGCTATTTGCAACTTTTTAAGAAAGCACCATACAGCCTTCCAGACTGATTATACCAGTTTACACTCCCACCAACAGTGAATAAGGGTTCCAGTTTCTCCACAACATCACCACATTTGTTGTTTGCTCTTCTGTTAAATTTTGCTAATCTTACTGGATGAGATAATATAGTTGTTTTGATTTATATCTCTCTTAGAGCTGGCGATTTTGAACATTTCTTCATGTGTGTATTTGCCATCTGAATGTCTTCTTTGGTCAAATGTCTGTTCATATCCTGTGTCCATTTTCAATTGGGTTGTTAACATTTTTCTTGTTGTGGTGCTCTAAATAAGTCTTTTGTGTTTCTAGTTAGAGTTACTCCTAAGTATTTAATCTTGTGATTAGCTATTGTGATGGGTATTGATTTTCTTGGTTCCAGTTCTATATTCTCTTTGTTGCTATACAGAAATTAAATTGATTTTTGTATGTTGATCTTGTATCCTACTACTTGCTGAATTATGTCTAGTAGTTTTCTTGTTGAATTTTTAGGGTTTTCTGGAGTCGAAAAATCAAAAGGGCCGAACTCGTTCAGCATTTCTTAAGCTCAAGGAACTGAAGAACAAATTCAAACCTTGAGTTGCTATAATCAAGGATGCTTTAGGCAGAATGTTAAATGATCCGAGAAGATGGAAAGAATATACTGAGTCACTGTATCAAAGGGAATTGGCAGACACAGAAGCATTTCATGAAATAAC